TAGTTGTGTGTTGTGCTGTGTTGTGTGGAGGTAGAAGAGAAAGAATTTTCCAGTGCATTCATATATATATATGTTTTCTTTGTCTTCCTCTTCCTCTTCCTCTTCTCTTCTCCTCCTCCTCCTCCCTCCTCCTCTCCTCTCCTCCTCCTCCTCCTTCTCTTACCATATTGCCAAAAGCCTAAGTCGTTAAGAGGAGATGATACTCTTTTCGTCATCCAGTGGACACTAGCATGAGATTTGAGGCTGAGCACCAGTTGCTAGCAAATGAATAGGGCATTTCTTCCCCCCCTCCCCCACATGCAAAGTTTATGTAGTAAAAGAGGTACTTATGCCTAATAATCTCATGCATAGTAGGAACCTCCTGTAATAACACAGTAAATGTAATGAAAATAAAAAACTAAGAAGAAAATTACTGGTGGGAAGGGGACATGGCAACTAACTCCAGCCATGCCCCCTTCTTATATTCAGTCGACTGTGATGGGGGGTGCCACAGAGTATCAAATGGTTTTCATTAGCTCATGTTATTCAAGCTCTTTGATGCAACCTTCCTACTTGTGTTTCATGTAGCAACTGATTTATAGCTTTGAATGACATTTACTTGATCTTCCTCCATTGTGCATCCTGGTGGATCCAGTATCTTGGTGATGCAGGTGGCTTCAAAATACTTAATCTTCTTGATAATCCTTTAGAGTAAGGTGCAATTATGACACTATGAATGGTCTGTGACATCTCCATTGCTACTATTGCCATCATGTGAGGCCTTCACCATATCAACTCCAAAACACTATTCACATTATGAAGCTTCATCTGTTCCTAGCTTTGAAAAACCTACCAACCTTTTCCAGATCAACTCCTAGCAATTGTTTCATTTTAATCCACTTCCAAGTAAAGATATTATTTTTAGCAACTGTACATCGTTTGTCATATCAACAAAGTTTTGCCCTATAATGTTTTTTCTCCAAGTTTTTAATTTCTTTATTGCAAGTATGATACTTATTTTCAGGTATCAAGAAAATAGTATGTGAGGAGGACTCCTCTTCATCTGAGGAGGAAAATGACTGTGACAGCAACTATTACTCCAGTGAAGAGTCAGAAGATGAGGGCAAGGAGAACTTTGACCTCAATGAGAATATGGTCCAATCACAAACCAAAACGCCCAGGAAAACACCCTTGAAACAAAATCAAGCACTGTCCAGAACTCCCGGGAGAACCCCATCAAAGACCCCATCAAGGGGGAGGAGAGCAGGGAAAATTAAGGATGTTGAACTGGTAGGTCCTGGTTAGCAAATGTGCTGTCAGTGAAATTTGAATTGGAATTTTATACCAGTGGTTATAACCATTATATATAGTGGAGAATAATGTGTTCATTGTTTTCTCCCTTTTGCATTAGCACTATGGCCTTGGTAAGTCATCCACATGGTTTAGTGAAATGATTATGAGATATTCTTCAGAGATAAAAAGAATTACATCTATCTATCTATATGTATATATATATAGATTTTTTTCTTTCTTTTTTCTTTCTTTCTTTCTTTTATTTGTGATTGTTGGTTAGAAAGATTTATTTTGCAAGAAAATTATATTGAAGTAAGATGGCATTGAGTTAGTGAAGTATTTTGAATTATTTGAGATATGTTTGCATATCCCAAATGACATGTGTTTCAATTGATGCTTAAGTTGCCACCATCAAGAATCATATCAGAGATGAGGTAACAAAGTTAAATTGTGGGATTTACTGTATTTTCAGACAGCTACAGCAGATGAATATTTCATGTCACACGGAGAAACAGCAAAAGTAGTGACCTCAGACCACACACTCAGCCGACTAGAGACCCCACGCCTATCACCTGAGGCTCTCCAAGCACTCCTGATGGGCGTCTCTTCTTCACACCACCAGGAACGTCAGGCTCTCCTTGAAGAGCATCTGCAGATGTTTCCACGTTGGATGACGTACTTGTGGTTGGTATTGCACTATTGATTATGAAATAATAATCTTTATTTTTAGGGGGGGGGTTACTCCTGCATTTGTTAGATTTCATTTCTCCAAAAAGTTATAGGTAATTCAACTAGTCCGAATTTTCACAAAAGCATTAAACCAGTCTTAATGGTAGAAAGGCAATAAACTAGGATTAGAATGAGATTATGATGGCATTACATATGTGTATGATAGGATGGCCATTCTCAATGTGGCATGATGTACAGTTGTGGACATTTACTGCTGGTGCACCACTATGGTGTGGACTGAATATTTTCTGGTAATACATTAATAATATCCAGTATTTTTTTAATGGAATGCTCTTGTTTGCATGGAAGTCTGTGGTTAGTACCTGGTATTTTGCAAATATGCACCTGGTATTTTGCAAATACTGGCAACTAATATCAGCCATTAAAATTGTCAAAAAGTTTGGAAACATTACAAAGTTTGGTCTAATACCAGTATTATTGCTTGAAATATGTAGTGGTTTCCTTTTAAAAAGAACAATTGGAAATGGTATAACTGGAC